AGGTAGAGAGTGAGGGAGATGTGGTATTGGCCTTTTTTTTGAGAGTGTTAGTAATTTTCCTCTTTTTCTCCCTGCATTTTTTTTCTCAAATGGGGGGAGGATGGGAGGGATTGTACTTACCTTTGAATTGATGTGGTGCCTCTCCAATAGCGACGGCGAGACCCCCCGTGCTCATTGTACATAGGAACCAAGCGAATGTGAAATGTTTTACTCTTTGGCGTAGACCTGGTTTACGTTTTTCAGGTTCCCGTTGCTCTTGTGTGATTGTTTCGGGTTTCGGTGTTGATGCCATTGCGATGTCGGCGCTTGTGGACGACGACATGGTCCGGCTGTATATCGAGATTGATGGGTGGAGAAAGAGAGAAGAATGAAAGTATATCTGCCAAGTACAGTTTTTTTAAGGCCCCCTAGGTTGCTTCTAAAAACATGATGAACTTGATGCCAACAATCTCGTGCGTGATGAAGGATGTCAGCACGAATTGAGGTTTTGACAGTTGTGAGCAAGATCTCGTAGTCCTGGGTACGATACTAGTAAAGTAAATCCTAGCCGATTAGCAGGAATTACACCAGGTTTCTCCAGATAATCCGAGAGCTTGCGTACCTGTTTTTAGTGCATATAAGGAACAAATAGCGGGATGGCAGAAAGTCTGGGGAAAAACCCTGGCTGCCGATGGCCCCTAAAATCTTATCCCCGGTGGTGCTTCTACTTTTCGTATTCCCGGTACCTATAGTACGCCACCCCTCACAGCCGGTAAGGTGGAAATCCCTGTCAAAAACACACTAACAAGCAGGATGAACATTTTCTGAAATTCTAACAGCCATTTCATGACGAAATGGTTTTCATGCAACTTGCTGAATCTTGTCCTTTGCAAGTTGCTTAGTCTGTCTAGCCCTCCATTTGATATCACCAGGCTGCGGCCAGCGATAATTCACCGGCGACTCACCACCCACAAAAATACACGTATCATACAACAAACCACCGCACAGCGCGCCGCTAACAGATGCACCCCAGCAGCCATATGCCCAGTAGCCTGTAGAAAAAGCATCCTTGTATCCGACCCAGTATGCCACGAGACGAGGCCCAAGGTCACGCGCCGGTGAAATGCCCAAGCCGGTGTTGTATCCGAGACCAATCATGGTTACCATTCCGGTGAGACCAACGATGAAGGCAGTCATTCCTTGGCCTGGAGGAGAGTTTTGGTCGTCTCCCAGGGCGAAAACGACACATACGAAGATGGCCATGTAGATGAAGTCATTGAAGAAGCCAGTTGCAGTAGAGTAGATGGGTCCTTTGGGGAAGAGAGCCTTTCCCGTCATATCGAGCGTGAGACCGGGATCTACTTCGTGGATGGCGTCATGGTAGACTCTGTTATACATGTTAATTAGTTTGTCGACCAAATTCAAATAAGAGCAATTTAGACTTACGCATATGCGACGGCTCCAGCGGCAAGACCAGCTAATAGTTGCATGCAGATGTAGACGATAGCCATCTTCCAGGGGAAACCACGAAATACCGAAAGTGATATGGATACTGTTGGACTGAGGTGGGATCCACTGACTCCTCCGCCCAGATAGATACCTATCATAACTGCGAATCCCCATCCCCAGGCTTGTGTCTCAAAGCTACCAGTGCTCTGTTGAGATGTAGCAACAGACAAGTTTACGCATAGCCCAATTAAGAGGTATATGAACGTCTGTGAGTTGTCAATAAAGCAAATATTTGTTTGACAAGAAGGCAGACATACTGCAAGAAACTCTGCCGGAGCTTGCGGGTACTTTGCTCGGAATCTAGCAATAGGGTTGCGGTATTGGTTATAAAACTCCCTTTCTTCCTCTTCTTTCTGTCGTTGGGTTTCTTTTTCTTCTTCTTTGGTTTGACTAGTTTGACTAGTTTCGTTTGTGGCCCGTTCTTGAAGCGGCGGAAGACCGTCCTGGAGACCAAAGTGTTGCTGGTGTCCACCTCCATCGGCATATCCCAATCCGTGCTCATTGACTGGAGCACGTGTTTGGCCATCGTGGTGCTCGTGGGAGCGGGAGTCTTGATTGTGATTCAAGCCGAGTACTTGGTTGGCTTCACTTGTCGGCACACGTTTTACGTTGACTCTGCGGCCATTGACTACAGTCTGAAATCTGTCTGGGTTTCCTTGACTGTTGGTGTTGTTTCCGGCGTTCAAAGTCTCCTGGGAATCTTCTGAATCTTCTTCTAAACCTATACACGCTCTAGTTAGGGTAGCTGTGGTTTGCAAAAAAGAGCGAAATCTTACCTTTTCCACCCCCAAAGTCAAGGCCGTCCTGCCGTGAGACACCATCGTCCTCGTCGATTTTGTACAAAGATTTACGCAAATCCCCTCGTCCCCACCACATGCCACGACGAACTGTGCGTGGAAGAGGAGCACCCAAACCAAAGACTGGTTTCTGTTTCTGCTCGTTATACCATGGATTCAGGGTGAAGTAATCGTTGTCAACATCGACAACTTGCTGTTGCTTCTTCTCTGGGCGTCGAGGAGGCTCTTGTCTGACATTTTCGCGAGTTGCAGTATTTGAAGGCGTATTCCTGATGCTGCCCATAGGCGCCGTGCTGGTTGCGGTAGTATTGGTGCGAGCATTCGGCGGTCTGGACATCAAATGAACAGTATCAGGTCTTCCTATGCTCGGTGCATCGGAACGACCGCGATGTAGAACTGTCGAGGCAAGGGATCTCGTTGTCGGTTGTCTCGATTCATTTGTCAGATTGGTGGGTCGTTGAGATGCAGATTCCTCTGGTTGTTGTTGTGCTATTGAAAACTAGGGTGTTAGTTGTCTGAAAAAAAAATTCCAAAGGCTCCTGTCTTGATTGAATCAAAGACATTGATGGATTACTTACTGTTTCCTGGCAAACCAGATTGTTGATGCGACATGGTGTAACTCAGCTGCTATTCTATGTTGCAAAGGTGAGTACGGTCAGATCGACCTTATATTCAGATTACGTTGAGCCTAGGATTCACACAGACAACAGCCATATGACTAAATGGGAAATGGTGGTGCTGCTATTCATGCATGGGAAAGTGAAGAATTGCATGTGCTACGTCACTGGCAGGGAAGCTTTTTGCCTAGTCCGCCCATGTCGCCGGTATTTCCGAGAGTTACCCACGGCTCAGAGACATGTGTGCCAATCGTCTTGGATGATATTCATAATGAGTGGGTAGAGCCGAACAAGAGCCTCAATTCTCGATACATATTGACTGATAAGGCAATCCTCATCTCGATCCTGAGGCGTTGCGGCTAGTTGTGGCGCTGTACAGATCACAAGTTGGACGGACATCGGCATGGTCAAGTGGAGCTTGTTGGCCTGCACTCGTCAGAATGTGCACGCATGAGAAAATCAAGACTTGGTGTGTCGCGTGATGTTCACACTGCGACAGAAGATGGTACATATACACGGGCAGCATACGAGCAGATGTATGCAAAACGCCATCGGCATTTGATGCAGAACATCAGCACATAGCAGTCGCCGGTCCTTAGTCACCGTCTGCAAGCCAAGCCGACGAATGTGCATAACAACGGTACAGCAAATAGAGGCTCCACTTTGACTAGCGCATCAGTGTGGAGACGCGGTCATAATTGCTTTACTTGGCCGATGGATAGTGTCCACGGAGACTGCTACATTCCCATGGATATAAGGGTACACTCAAAACCCATATGCTACAATACCAAGGCTCAATGGTCCCGTAGGATCCCATATCGGGGTATTACTATGCGCAACGAATAACTCCGACATTAATGCCACAGGATGGCGTACTGAGCAAACTTGGGTTAGACGCAAGTGCTCTTCTGCTCAAGGTGCTTCCCTCATGATACCGCCATCAACTTGTTCTGTTCCTGCGCCAATGTGAGGCCCTCGGGTGCTTGTCGGAAGAGTACAATCTCGGACTGCTTAAAGTATCGTCGCGCATCTAGATGGTTGTCAGTGGAATGCTCTAGATAGAGGGCGGGAATAGCTCACCTTCGTCAATAAGTACTAGACTGAGATAATATCTGGTCGAGTACTTCTTGTTGACTTCGCGGAAGGTGGGGGTCAGGTCGAAGCCGCCAAGGAATAACCTGATTGGAATTGTTTCACCTGCGACGTGGGTTAGTGGGATTCTTGTCGCAAAGAGTCGCATTCATGTACCTCGAGAGGGGGAACCGTCCATGATTTCAAAGCGGACGAGGGTCTCACTTTCGTTGTACTGGTTCGGAGGCGCGCCCGTTGTTTCTCGCCGAATGATGGACAGCTCCATGTGCTTAATCTTTAATCGAACGAGGAGGAAGTATATCCTGCCTACAATGACATCTTTGAGATGGTATTTGGACTTTGAGTACTCAAACTCAATGTGCAAGCAGTCCTCGATGCCGACGTCCATTTTGATGGAGCTGTTTGTCTCTGGGGGGATGCGGTACGAGTAGACCCAGAGGTCCTTTTCGCGAACCACGTCGGCCATTCTGCGGGAGACGGTGACGCGGACAAAATAGCGCAGCTTGACGTTGATGCCATTGTACGACTCGTATTGCTTCTCGACGTTTTTGAAGTTGAAGTCAAAGGTCTGGGGGTGCTGCAGCTCGCCGGGAGCGGCTAGCTCCTGGCCGAGGGAGAGGAACTCATAGTGGTTTCCGCGGTCGAAGAACATTTCTGGGCGCACTACATCAGCCATGCGCGGGGAAGTCTGGGACGGGCGAGGGGCGTACCAATGGTGCCAATGAACTGGACCTTGATGCCGGTGTGCTCGAGGCGCTTGCCATCTTTGGGGCGGACGGTAACCTGGCCCTTGACCGACTCGCCGTCGAGGTAGAGGGGGACTTTCTCCTTGCGGTTCTTGTCGAGCTTGACGTCGACGGCAGAGCGGTCGTCGAGGTCCTCGAGGACAATGTCGATGTCGACCGGGGTGGAGAAGAAGTAGGACATGGTTGGAGTGCGTGGTCGCGTCGGCGGCCGACGGGGCTGAGAGCAAGGTGGACGTGTGGATGCGTGGTGCATGCTTTCGTCATACAGCGCTTGTCCATGTTGGGGGCGGGTCACGTGGGCGGTGCCCCGCTTCCCCGTTGGCTACCAAGTGGCCACTGCCACTGTACAAGACTTGGTACGCTGCTGGCTGTTGGCTGTTGGCTGTTCGCTGTCCGCTGTTCGCTGTCCGACATGGCTGCTTGTCCGGATTATTTACTTGGTTTCCGTTTCCTGACGATGCCGGCAAACTCAACGGGTCCACGTCACGTCTTACTGCGTCGCGGGCTGCGAGGGTCAGAGGGCAGGGCGCAGTTGTAGGTGGCAGAGGGCAGGCCCTCCACATTCCTACGTAAGTAATGCGAAGTAGGGGGAGGCGGCTGGCCGGGAAGCGCGCGCGAAGTCAGACGTGAACTGGCTCGTATTGGCGGGCAAAAAAAGAAAAGGCAAGCAGATGCGATGGTCGTCTAGTCCTCAGCCTCGACCTGGCCGGGCCGATGGTGTCTCGAGGCCGCGCCGGACCCCCACGCGCCATTATCCAACCGCGTGGTGTGCACGAGTCAAGGCGGTGAGGGCGTATGTGGAGAGGGCGTTCCTGTGCCGTCGTCGGTCTATGGATGGGATGCTACGTCGAGTCCTGCGTAGTGTATAGGGTAGTACAGTGCACACACACACTTGCCCACGGCGTATAGATCTAAGATTCAGGTGCTACACATCTGCCATGTATGCACATGTATGCATACAGAGCGAGGGGGATAGACGACAGACGGCAGGCAGGCAGTCCGTGGCGATCTAGTGGTAGTCGCCTCCCCAGCCCGACGCGGGGCACTGCATGCTGTGTGACCTGGCTGTGACATATTGTGGATGTAAGTAGGAGGGAGTGGTGGTGGTAGTGGTGGTAGTGGTGGTAGTGGACAGGGCAGGCCAGCCGGTTCCTGAGAGATGGGATGGGCAGTGCGGGGGAAAAAAAAGGGAGGGATTCGGGCGCTAGGACTCAGCATGACATCCATCATCCCACACGCGACAGTTGCATGTTCAAAGGCCGAAGCCCTCAACCTCTCCACGCCGGCTGCCCGGCTGTTGCACCCGTCTGGCCCTCGCACCGCCACTAGCTGTCCGGTTCGCGCCGCCATTCGCTGTCGTGGTTGCACGCGTACCATCCTGCCTGGGCCTCCTGAAGCACAACGCCCGCCAGCCCATCCCACCCTTGCCGTCACCGTCATGGCGCGGCGGGCGAAATTTCCAGATGAGCGTCCCCGACTGCGAGCCTTAAAATCCACTCTCCCCCCAGCGCACATTGGGTGCCTTTCTGGTAGATTGCTGACCCTCTGCATCCAAACTAGCCGTTGTCGATACATGTGCGTTTGCAATATCGCATATTAAATCCAGCCCAAGTCCCGTTTCCGGTTTCCTGCTTGCTGCTACCTGGCTGCCCAACTCAAACACCTACTCACTCACTCACTCGCAAACGCCCTCGACTGCACCTTACTTATATTTGCCCGTCCCCCGCCCGTCTTCTTGCTGCCGCTCCAACGCCATGATGCAAACCATGGAGCAATCAGTCCCCGCCCCCATACAATATGTATCGCCGCCCACGCCTCCCGCCTCAAATACCGGCTCGCCATCCACATCGTCGCCTGCCCTCGCCGACACAAAGACGGCTCAAATGACCATCCCCGCCCACCACCACATCCTCATTGTCACCGGCCCTGCAGGCTGCGGCAAGAGCACCATTGCCAAGCATCTGTCCGATCGATATGGCTTCGACTACATTGAGGGTGATGAGGTAAGTCGCCTTGCCCGATGCCGCCTAGCGCCTGCTAACTGCCCCACAGTTCCACCCAAAAGCAAACATTGACAAGATGGCCGCCGGCATTCCCCTCAACGACGAAGATCGCTGGGATTGGCTCATCCTGCTGCGCGACCAGGCCCTCACCGCTCTCAACAACGGCTCGCGTGGCGTCGTCGTCACCTGCAGCGCTCTCAAGAAAAAGTACCGCGACGTCATCCGCACCGCCAGGCTCTACGACCAAGACCCAAATGCCAACGTCCACTTTGTCTACCTCCGCTCCGACATGGAGACGCTGCTCTCGCGCGTCCGTGCCAGGCAAGGCCACTACATGAAGGACGCCATGGTCGCCAGTCAGTTTGCTGCCCTCGAGGAGCCCGACGAGACGGAATGCAAGCAACTCAAGGACGTTGAGATTATCGACGTCAAGGGAGGCATCCAGGACGTCCAGCAACTAGCCAGTGCTGCTGTCGACAGAATTCTGGCACAATAGCATTCTGCCCGCAAAGTCAGCCGGCTCTGATGATGTGTAAAACAAACAAAAAAAGTTTCTTTTTTTCTCTTGTTCTTCTCACCTGGGGATCGACATCAACTCGATTGCCCAGCAGCGTAGCGAGGGGTTCTTGGTTTTTTCTTCATTCTTGGGTAAAGGGCGTAACAGTTTTAATTATACCCTTATGACATGGGCTGGTAACACTGCATATGCGGAGCTTTTTTTTCGAGTCCAGACGCAATACACATTCATACATACATACGTACATTTACAATAAGTAACACTACTGGTCATTTCACAGCCGTGAGCCTCACAGACGTGCATTAGTCGTGCAGTATCCACTCCCGACATGCAACTGATTCACGACTAACACTCCTCATGTCTAGTCATGAATCTCGTCCATCTGCCACCCCAAACTGCCGCCGCGGCTAAACCGGGAAAAGAAGTAGAGAACAACAACGTCGTCGGAAACAACTCGTCCGTTCACGGCCGGAAACGGCTATCCCGACTTTCGTCTTTACATTATGCCCCCTCCCCCCACATGTTCCGATAGAACAGGAAGACAAATGATCAACGGAGACGAACTCGCACCGGGGGACTAGTCTTATCGGGAACCCTACTTGCTACCCTAAGTTAAGGCCGCCGCCGTCCCATCCCCCACGTGCGCATTTTGTTCACACCAAAAAGTCTCCGCATACTAGACTTATTTATAGGGTTTGTTTGCCTGTTTGGGGTGTAGTGGCTTGGCGGTTTGGGGACTTGGGTTGGAGGATGGTAACATGGCTGTGTGTGTACTTGGAAGTGGTGGACTATCGTTTTATTTATATATCGTGGTATAGTACGACCATTCTTGTTCGTCTTTGAATTATTTAATTTTTGTTAATAGGGAAAAAGGGGGGATGCGGAAATTAATGGGATAGATAGAAATGAGAGATTGTTGTGAGTTTTCTTGGTGCCTAACTAGTACTAAAGCAAACACATCTTACTAGGCGCCCTGCCTAGAAGAGTGGCTTTTGCTGTGTTACTACTATATCGTTACTCAGCCCTTTTTCTCCACTCCAGGGAAGGGGCTATGGCGACGCGGTGCCAAAGCGAGTTTCAGGTCCAGGGTTGAAGAATGAAAAATTTAGAGGGCGCAGCAAGGTTGCTTGGCTGCCGTTGTGGAAGGGAAGGAATGAAATAAAGAGCAATTGCTGGTTTGTTTTACTCTGATGATATCTCACTTTGGTCTCTCTTCTCGTTTACCTTTTTTTTCTTCATCATATTGTCGAGCACGTCACTTGTTAATACGTGGCGTAAGCAGTGTACACTGCACTTCACAGCACCATGGCCGAGACATCTTCAACACTGATACTGGTCCCCCGCTTCGCTGACCTTACAACAACGGCGCCTGCGACTAGCATGACTGGATCACCTGCTACTCAACCTTTCTCTACACCTGAATACGACAATGGTGTCTCGCCAGTCCCTATACAAGTCGTTGTCGGCGCCCCTGTTGGTGCGGTTGCAGGACTGGCGGTGCTGGTAGCCATCATTGTATTTTTTGTGAGAAGGGCTGCGGCAAAGAAGCGGGAAGCGGGAGCTGTGCGGGAAGATGGAGGGAAGATGGTATATGATACTGATGACGAATCGGTTATAAGTGGTTATGGGAAGGAGGTGGGGAGGCGAGGGTGAATTAGGGCAACGAGTGTAGCAGCAAGTTCTTTACCTGAAACTTCCATGGAAGATCTTAGTACGAACTTCTCGGCCTTGATTAGTTGCGGGGTTGGTGTTCTGGAGGCGCATACAAGCTACTGCGTGAGATGGAAGGATATTTGAGCGCTATTTATAACAAGTGCCAGAGGGAGTTGTTGTTAAGGATCTCGAACGCTATAAAGTCCAGAGTACGCACAGGCTTGATTAATCATTAATTTATAATCGTCTCCACGATTAATCGCTCAAATTTGCAAGTTATTTTGTTGCATGGCCATGCACTTGACATGATTGTTGCAAAAAAATTCCGATAACAATGGGATTCGTCTTCTACAATGCATATCAATTCCACGATCCGATAGGCCGGGACAACCGCATCAGGGAAAAAGTTGCCGCAATTTTCATTGGTGAACGTGGCGACGGCAAAGGGCTGCAATACGACTTTGTCTGGACCCTACCCGACGCCATGTTGACGCTAATGACTCTGCGTCTGTGTCGACCTTTTTTTTCAGTGGTTGTAAAGTGGAGCGGGAGACGCGAAGAGCACTCTCGAACCGCCACGGAACCTGAGTGCGGAGAAGGCAAAAAATTTGAACAAAAGTTGCAAACGGGCTCAACACTCGACTAGTTTGAGTTTAGCGCAGAGGAGAAAAAAACGACCAGACATAATGGTCTTTCAGCAAGCAATGACAATGGCAAGACGTGAAAATGACATGGTTTTCTTGTCATGACGACTGGGAGGATATATGGACTGATACATAGACATATGTACTTGGATGTACATGGATACTTACGTATGTAGGTACACCATAGCCGGCCCAAATGGATAAAGTACAGTTCCTACATAGTGGAGAGGCGGATGCAACGGCCTGTCTCCCCCGGCACGCTCCGCCGTAGTGCATGCTGCATGCATACTCAAGTAGACGAAGCGAAACATGTGATTGCTCCATGGTTCAAAGTCTTATCGAGCTGCCCTGCCCGTTGACGCCATATTGCGAGCAGGCGGGGTATAGAAGCGTATGGATGCAAGCAACAAGACGTTGGACTCAAATGGCCCATCCTATCCCATGGCTGTAGCGACATTGGCAGCACCAGGGCAGGGGTTCGCTAGCGGCGGATGACGTACCGGCAGCCGTTGCAAGGTTGCCCGACCCACGCTGTTCCGCCAAAATTTTATGCCATTGCACCCGCCCCTCTCCAAAGTAAGCTCAATTCCTGGCTAAGCCATGCCATCCTTGCTTATCTTGCGGCCCGTCACCATGATACCTGACTGGATCCGCCAAACCACGGTGCGCAGAAGCCAGAATCGCGTGCCATCTCCAGGCGATTGCGAGACAGTTGCTGCTACCATCGTCCATCCACCATCCGCACTACCCCAATAAACCCTCACAGCGCCTGCCCGCCCATTCATTTACCCACCTGGACCGCGCCCTTTCCCTCAATCCGGCACTCTGTCTTCTCCACTTAAACTTTCCTCGCTCAGGACATGGCCTGTTGACTTTGACCCGACCGTCGTTTCTTCTCCTTTGACTTGGGCGCAATGCCTTCTCGTCTCTTTGCCCGCGACGCGCCCGCCGCCGACCAGCAACCCCAGCTGCCTTTTACTGGCGACAACACAAACGACGCCGACTTTGCCTACGACCAAGCGCACGCCGAGAATGGCGGCCACAGTCTTCCACGCCGGATACGCGGCCAGTCCATTGCCTCTGGTGCCCTCTCTGGCTCGTACACGCGCAATCCCATCCGTTCCTTTGCCCACCAGACGTCACACAGCTTTGCTGGTCCGTATTCGAAGCCTCATCTCACCCATTGCCAGCACTCACTGACTGCCTTGCAGATACCCCACACTACTCGTCCCAGGGCGTGCGCGAGAGAAGCTCCCAACTAGCTTCGTATGCCCTCGAGGTCGAAAACTACCAGGACCGACCGCACCGTGGCAGCTTTGCCGACTCCGACGCGTATGCCACGAGGCCGGGCGCCATCCCCTCGGACAGTGAGGACGGGCGCACGTCACAAGACTCTGGCCGCTGGACCGATGCCATTGATCAGGAAAGCGACGCCGAAACCCCCGAGACGGTCATTGGCCCTCAGTACCAAGATCGTAACTTTTTCAGCCCAAAGTCGCAGGTCGACACCGCCCAAAACAACAAGAATGTATCCCCGAGTGTAGTCGTTGAAGACACGGAGCGAACTCCTCTGCTTCCCCAAGGCAGATTGTCGCGCTCAGGCCCTCAGCAAAAGCACAAATCTATACCGCATGATTCGTGGGCGCCACGACCCAAATCGAACCTACCTCGTCGTCTTACACACACCCTCGAGGTTGGTCGCGAACATGTCCGGGGCATTGGCAGATCGCTGACCGACCCCAACAACTACACCAAGGATGCTCTCCTTTCACGTGCCATTGAGGGCGTTCAGATCACATCTGCCGTCTTCCTCGGTCTGCTGCTGAATCTCCTCGATGCGCTGTCTTATGGCTACATTCTGTTCCCACTCGGTGCACCCATTTTCAGCAACACGGGCCCAGATGGCATCTCGATTTTCTTTGTCAGCTGTATAGTGTCACAACTGTGCTACTCTCTAGGACTGTCTGTGTTCAAGGGCGGTGTCGGATCTGAAATGATTGAGGTTGTGCCCTTTTTCCATAAAATGGCATATTCCATCATGGAACAGATGGAGGGCAAGCCCCCGGAAGCAATCATAGCCACCACCATTGTCTCCTACTGTCTCAGCTCCATCTTGACTGGTCTCATCTTTCTTGCTCTTGGTGCCTTTAAGCTTGGCAACCTAGTCAGCTTCTTCCCAAGACACATTCTTATCGGCTGCATTGGCGGAGTGGGCTTCTTCCTCATTGTGACTGGCATTGAAGTGTCAGCTCGTCTCGAAGGCAACCTCAATTATGATCTCGAGACCCTGCACAAGCTCTTTTCCTCCGACACTTGGTACCTCTGGACGCTGCCGCTTGCCCTTGCCATTTTGATCATGGTACTGCGGCGGCTATCCAAGAGCCCGTTTGTCTTGCCTGCTTTCTTCGTTTCTGTATTTGCCATTTTCTACCTTGTTGTCAAGGGTATCCTTCACAAGGATCTGGAGCCTGTGCGTAATGCGGGCTGGATATTCGAGCTGCCGGAAGCCGGTGTCCAGTTTTACAGGTTCTACACCTACTTTAGTAAGTGCCTCGCTGAACTCTCAGTGACAGTGTGCTAACAAACCAACAGAGTTTGGCAGTGTAGACGCAGGAGCCCTTGTGAGCACCATTCCCACTATGTTTGCTCTATCCTTTTTCGGTATCATTCATGTACCTATCAATGTTCCTGCTCTAGGTGCAGCTGTGAGGGAGGACAATCTCGATGTGAACCGAGAGTTGATCGCCCACGGCATCTCCAACACCCTCTCTGGGTGCTTGGGTAGCATTCAGGTATGGATAGCCACACGCGTGATTCGCGGCATCGCTAACATCTATAGAACTATCTCGTCTATGCAAACAGTGTCATGTTCGTCGACAACGGTGGTAACAGCCGTACAGCTGGTGTCATGCTCGCATTTGCCACGACTGCTGTCTGGCTAGCTGGCCCAGCCATGGTTGGCTATATCCCCATCTGCCTAGTTGGCGCACTCATTTTCCTCCTAGGTATTGACCTTATGAAAGAAGCCCTTTGGGATACCTTTGGCAAATGCCACAAACTCGAATATCTGACCATCCTGGTCATCGTGCTCATCATGGGTATCCACGACTTTGTGGTTGGAATCTTTGTCGGCATCGTCCTTGCATGCGTTAGCTACGTTGTGCAAAGCTCGCGTCATTCAGCCATCCGCGCATCCTACAGCGGCATGATCGCCGAGTCTACAGTTCGCCGTCCACGATCAGATTCGCGGTACCTCAACAAAGTTCGAGGACAGATTCGTGCCATTAAACTTGGCGGATTCTTGTTTTTCGGTACGATTGTATCGGTCGAGGAGTATATGCGCTCCTTGATCGACGACGATAACTTTGAGAGGAACCCAATCAGCTTCATCATTGTCGACTTCACTCATGTTACGGATGTCGACTTTTCCAGTTCTGAAGGCTTTCAGCGTATCAACCGTATCTTGAACACCAAGAACGTCAAGATGATCATTTCTGGAATCTCATTTTCTGATCCCGTCGGACGTGCTCTGCAGAACGTAGGGCTGCTGGACGGAGAAGGGGATGAAGAATGCCCGCCACCCCAGATTTTTGAAGACCTCAATACGGCACTCGAATCGTGTGAAAACGAACTCCTGGAGGTGTTCCACAGACACTGCAATAGACGCCCATCTAAGCAACAAACGACACCACCCATGAGCATCTCGGGGGCCAAGGATATTTCTACTCACGAGCCTGGCTCACCCACTTCGTTTGGCGCCAGCTCCCTCAACCCGGTATTCTCGTCACCCCGAAGAGGTGCTCGCCTCATTGCCGCTCGCTCAACAATGCGTGAGAGTGGCGACGACACTTTCTCCATAACCGACAACGCCTCCCAATACACGACAACTGCTGTGCCGCCACGCTGGCGAAACTTTGCACAGCCACTCAAGATTATCCTCCAGACTTTTGAAGACGTGTCCACCAAGAACGAAGACTTTTGGCAAGCCGTCGCACCTTACTTTGAGCGCAAGGAGTATCCCGCGGGCACAGTACTATACTCGCGCGGCGACGATCCAGACGGTTTCTACATTCTTGAAAAGGGCCGCCTGCGAACAGAGTACGAGCTCGACCAAGGCAGCTTCTTCGAAGTCATTCTCCCTGGTACCACCTGTGGTGAACTTCCGTTTTTCTCAGAGACAGACCGCACGGGTACTGTGGCGGCGGAAAACGACTCGGTTGCGTGGTTGCTTACACGTGAAAAATACAAGGAGCTGGAGAAGAAGGATCAAGAGGTTGCGACCGAGTTGTTGAAGGTGGGACTGAAACTGACAAAGGAGCGTATGGATGCTATTACGAGTTATGTGCTTGTGACTGCGTCGTAGGCGCTTGCTTTTTTTTTCTGTGGAAAGTAGTAGGAGTGGTGTGGGGGGGATTATAATTTACCTTTTCATTGTTGATGTTGATGGGATTAAAACTGAAAGAATGTTTTTTATTCGTTCAGCATGGCGTGTGGTAGTATGTGGTTTTAGTAAATACCTTCAAAATGAGACACTATTTTTGCGTCAATACCTTCTTGCACCTTGGTAGTCCAAATGAAAATTAAAAAAGTAAAGATTCCTGGCATTGATTAAGCAAAAAAATAATATTTCGCCTATCAATGAATCTCTGAAGAGAGAGACAAAAAAAAGATGTCAATCAACCATTTTACTAGCTGCTCTCGGTTTCCTATTCCACATTGTCAGTTACCTGATTCGAACTCTTTTGCTAAGATAGCTCGAGTCAAACTTACGATCCGAGGTCCTCCGGGTTATGAGCCCGGCGCGCTTCCGCTGCGCCAAGCAGCTTTTTTTGTAAAATGCTGAGTAAGCTTTGATGTTCAATTTATCAATTAGAGTATTGATATTGGGAAGAAAAAAAGTGATTGGATGGGGGGATGGGGTGAGAGTGGTAACAGGGCGGGTTGGATGGGTAAATGTGGGGGGGGGGAAGAAATCTTGCATAGTGCGTGGTTGGATGAATTTTTAACGAGTAGAATGACGTTGGGGCGGCTTGCTCTGGGGGTGGGGTGGGGTTATAGTATATAGGAATATCGGAGTATAAAAAAAAACAAGGGTAAGATTGGATGAGATTGAATTTTTTTTTTAAAAAAAATCCCCCCCGGAAATCAGGAAAGAAATCAAGAAAATAATATTTAAATAAGAAGGAAAAAATGAATTGCACCACACTTGTACAAACTTGTCGAAATGGAAAACGCGCAGGGAAAAAACAAAAACAAAAACAAAGGATTGCCTTGAATTAAAGAGTAAAGAGAAAAAAAACACGAATTGGTATACGAATGCAACAACCCAAATACTTCTTTTCTCAGTAATCTCGACGAACACGACGAAAAAAAAAAACTTCCCACAGAACAATCAATCCCACATCTTCTCAAACCCCCTTAGCCTCACACAAATGCCCATTCTTACTCAACGTAGTCCCCAACCCCTTATGCACCTCAACCTGGAAGCCATCAAAGGGCACTCTCTCACCATCAATACTAATATACCCATCCTTCTGGTCGCGCGGAATAATGCGGTATGCACTGACTTTCTGGTAATCCACATGGGCAAGATCGAAAAAGGTGTGGTTTTCGATCGACAAGAGGGTTTTGATGGCGGTGACGCGGGGGAGGTCGCCACGGATGCGGACGAGGTCGAGGCAGCCGTCGCAGGGGAGGGCGCCGGGGAAGAAGTTTGCGTCGGCGGACATGTAGGCGATGTTTCCAGCGTAGAAGTTGCCGATTTTGTCGTGGGGGATGAGTTCCCAACCTTCTGGTAGTGGGTCGGTGTTTGTGCCGTATTTGAGAGGGGGTAAGCCTGCGTCGGCGGCAGGGAGGGTGGCGGTTTCGTTGCTGCCAGGTGGTTTGGCGGCTTCGGCGCGGTAGACTTCGCGGATGGCGGCTTTGTTGTCGTACTCGACTTTGACGGCAATGTCGGCGGGGTACACGGTTTTGCTGAGGAGTCGCATCAAGATACCCCAGGTGAAGCGGGCGCTGCCCATCCATCGCAGGTTTTCTGTTGCGAGATCGGATTCGGCGACGATACCGAGGGACTGGGAAAGGAAAGAGAGTGTGCGCCGGCCGCCCTGGGTCACTGACGAGAGATCTAGCGACATGCGTAGACCTTTGACAATGGCCAAGGCAGCTATGCTTGGATCATTCGTCCCGTTGAAGTTGAGACTCATGGCATTGCCTGAACCGCATGGTAGTTGAACGACAGCCATCTTGGCCAGGGCTCTTGCAGCGTCTGGCCTTTTGCCCAACCCATTCCAGACCTCATGTGGTATGCCATCTCCAGAACAACACGCCACGACATCGAATGCATCAATATCCATGTTCTGTGCAATCTCTACACCATGTCCGTTGTGCGTCGTCCTCTCCACGTCCAGCTCGCATCTTGCAGCAGCAAAGATGGGCGCAATCTGCTTGTTGTACATCTTGACGGCGCCGCCCTGTCCCCCAAACGGATTGACGAGTACCTTGATCCGCTTTCGCCGTTGCGACGCTCCGTATGCGCGATCTAAGAGTTTCTCTATCCATGCCTGTACCAACTGGCTATCGGGCTTATCGACATGGTAGCTGATTGTCGCTGGGCGAACGGATTTGTTGGATACCGTCTGCGCATATTGAATAGTAATATGGTCGCCGTCTGCGAGCTCGGCCCAGAGAATGTTATAAAAGGGTATTGAGCGAGTGGCTTTCTTCTCTGTTAAAGTCAGCGGATGCTGTGCGCTTGTGCATTGCAGAGGTGGTGCGTACTGCCAGGAAGAGGCAGATTACAGCAATTGGCGGTTTTGGTATCCACGAGGGCTTCGTCTGTCAACTGTCAGCCATAAGGGGTTCACTGAGACCCTGTAGACTGCATCATACCCAAAACAACGAGGGAATCGGTGCCCAGAGTTAGCGAAGCATCTCTGTTTACAGCGAGTGAGTCTGGCGCATTGATGCGCTCGTGGGGCTCTGATGCTTGCGGTGCTTGCACGGGAGCGTCATCAGGAATCAGAGGGACGGTGGGTTCTGTAAAGGCATCGCCTGCACCAGCAGTGGAGGCCATGGTTATCGCTGAATTGTACGGAGGTCACACAGCATGCTGCACGCAAAGTTCAAGCAGCGAGTGCCTGCGACAGGCTGTATTAACTAGAGGCTGATGTTGGTCGCTCGGTCGCGCTCAGATGCGTGGACGCGCGGATCAGACGGGCGGGTCTGATGCTAAACAGGAGACAGGGAATGGGCCAATGGACCCTGCGTTGCTCAGCCGAGGCCCACTGCTGATTGGCCAACACTGATGGTGAACTGATTTATTCTCGTCTTCTCGCTACCAAAGCCATATTAACCTTAGTCTCTCATCACGTAGCCCATTTTCGAGCCATGCTAGCCCACCCGTCGAGTAAGCCCTATACCTTTTCTGCAAGCCTCTCATATGTAAACACCCGCTCATGCTACGCCAACCTTGTTGAGACCCTTCAGTGATCCCAGGCTCAGTGCAAGGCCTTGCGAGCGACTGCGTATGCGCACAAAGCCGGTAATGGGCCCGTTGTCTCCTTCCTTTTCTATGCTCAGATTGGCCAAAGCATCCTCACCTGGACTGGGTTAGCCATTGCCAATAGTGCGAGGGGAAGCGGGACTTACCAAAAACGCTTCTTGCGTACAGATTCGCCGATAGGAACTGGCAGTCGCCCTTCATTGATGCTTCTGGTGTTAGGCAGCTCATGTTGGTGCTTGCCATGAGCTGGTTCAGGAACTCGCGCAGACTCTTGGCCTTGGAGTTGATATTGACCTTGTTCTCCCATTCAAACTCGGTCCACATGGTGCGGAACTGCGTCTCGGTGCATTGTGCTGGCTTGATGTAGTCCATAATGTCCACGTGCACGTCGTTGAGAATAACGACATTCGAGTCAACACCCTTTTCACTGTTATGCATTAGCCTAGCCCCTCATCAACCACCACGCTATTGTACTTACCCTTCGTAGATGATGTTTCCAAAAATGACGCCAGTGTCCGTCGATGAAACTAGTCAAGTCAGCGTTTCAAGCTCGTCTCAACACAGGCACAATTCTCTTACCCTTGATCGTCGCTTGGATGTTGATGAAGTCGTGAGGACCGACATTTTGCGTCGAAGGCCTTTCGACTACCTTGAGATCGCCCAGTGTCGCAAATTCAATTGTAAGGTTCTGCAACGTCTCGGTCGTTTGGTTCACAAGAAGCACGTCGAGTACAATGTCAAATTGATGGACCTGCAAGTATTAGCACATGCCTTTGCCCTACTAGCAACATTATGCGTTACCTTGACGTAAGCTTCCGCGTACACCGCATCAGAGAAACCCGTGAGCTGTACAACACGGCTGAGTTTCGATGTGAGATCCTCGGTCGCGCTATCACCTCCGGTGGCTCTCTCCAAGTCTTGATCGATCTCATCAATGCCGTCCGAGTCTTTCTTCTTCAGCTGGCGGATGTTGAAGGCGTCATCAACGTTAACAGCTGACTTGGCTCTTTCTGAAGCCTCCTTGGCCGCTCGCTTCTTTTCTTCCGTCTGTACCATTGTTCGGAATGATTTCCGTGTGTCCTCGAGGAAAACTGTTTGAATTTCCTTTCTTTGCGCAAACTCTGACAGCGAGCGCACACATGACATGATACGGTCGACAGAGTCTTCGTCAATCAGGGTCTTGACAAACTGTGATTGACCTACACGGATAATGGAGATCATAATCAGCATGGCCTCAGCACGAAGGGCGTTTGTGCGTGCAGCATCCGTCGAGATCTCCCCATGTCGCATCACCAACTTAGTTAGGGTACTCGACAGAACTGTAGCAAGGTAGTAGTCGCCATCGAGGAGAAGTTGTCGGAGCGGAGGCTTCTGCGAGTTCTTGACAGCTTCGAGTTTTGCCTTGGCGGCAGCCGATGATGTAAGAGCGCTTTCGGTTGCATATGTTCCATCAGCAAGCACCTTTCGCGATCCGGTCGGAGCAGCTGCCTTTGCGTGCCCGTTGACTTGGTCAGACGAGTCTTTGCCTTCCGAAGCCTCGTCAAGTAACCTTTGCTCAGAGGCAAGAATCGGGATCTCGCCAAGTGATGATCGGATGCCCTTCCAGGCGTCCCTGATGTCTTTGGCTTCCAGAGAAAACTCTCCAATAATCCAGAGCACACCTCTGTAGACTTTGCCAGCGCGTACTTCACCAAGCGTCGATACCAGTCGCTCAATGATGGAGACTCTGAGGTCGGGGAAGCGCTCGACAACCTCCTTCACGAATGAAATGACGTCGACCGCAGAGGCGTTGCTGCTGACATCCGAGATAAAGTCCATGAGCGATCCGACAACGCTGGCGGCGACCTCTGGGAACTTGATGGCAGCCGAGTGTATCGAAGAGATGAGCAGTGACCGGTACTCAGAGTTCTTCTCGTACTGTTCATCCACCGTCTTCATCAGCTCCTTCTTGAGCAGGAGGACAACCTCTTCAACATTTCTGCTCGAGATCATCTCCATGGCGATACCCAGTGACTTTTTGCGAACATCCAAGTCGGTACTGGACAAAACACGAAGAATCTCCATGGTCAAGTCATCAAGGACACCTTCATTCTTATGCCGTAGTTGATCGACCCGCTCCAACACTATCAATTTGACATTGTTATCCGGTTCCTTGATGGCCAAGTCGACAAATTTTCCAGCGGCCGCCTTGACCGCGACTGGGTTGCTCGTGAGTGTGGTGAGCGCATGTGCGGCCTCGTAGATGACTGTCGATACTTGCGACTCAAGGAGGTCGAATATCAGTCGGAGATAGCGTGCCTTGTTTGAAGGGTTGACAATAGCATCCTTGCGAATAAACTCCAATTCTGCGAGCAATAGAAGCTCCTCGTGGTTGGGTATGGCATCAAAGACTGTGCTCAAGTATTCGAGGGCCTTGTCATGGCTGACGGAGGTGAGGGCGGCGAATGCATTGCGTTTGCATGTTGGATCGTTTTCGTCGTCCAAGAACGTTACGAGGAGATCGGGCGCATCTGGCATGAGCTCGGGGAGGTGTGTAAAGATGGATGCAATCGCAAAGGTTGCATTCTTTCGGACGTATGCGTGTCGGTGTGTGAGGCACTGGCGCACCGGTTCTAGCATTGCGGTCAGCATAGCGCCTGGAACTGCATCTGCTACAACACCTACGTAGTAATGGCTCTACAAGTTCCGCATCCCGAAGCTTAGTTCTGTCCAACGCATCAGCAGTGCTCAAGCAAGTGTTGTCGGTATCCATACACAAAGCGCAATGTGTTTCCTCGTACGTATTCATTGGGAGCCTGCAAGTCGAATCGAATCGCATTGCTATACCATTGTCAGCGGTCATATCCCTTCGGTCTTGTATCCCGCACACAGAAACACCTACCAGACCAATATCCACTCCTGACGTAGCTTGCCCTGAGCGTCGTGTTTTGGGCACACCTCGAAGAAGAAGTACATGAGCTTCTTTAGCGGCTTTGACTTGCTGGGCATGACGAATCGGATGATGTGCATGAGGAGCCCTGTCTGAGGGTCGCCATTGAGCATGATGGACAGGATCTTCTTCTGTCGGGTTGTTAGACGGCCAGCTGGACCAAGGCGGGGCAGTTGCAATTGCGAGGGCGCACCATGGTCTCAATCTTCTGCTCATCGCTGCCCTTCTCGAGGGCAGTCTTGAGCTCATTCTGGGCGGGAACATCGGCTGCATTGTCCTGGTGCACCTGTTGCGCTCCGTCAGCTTCGCCCAGCTCCACGCACTGCCAGGTGTTCGTACCAGACTGTACGAATTCTCTAGAAAGGTCGCCATGATGGCGCGTGAATAGTATAGGCGGGTTCCTGTGAGTCTTGAAGTATCCAGCTACAATGGCGTGGTTCTCGTGGCGGCCGTCAATGCTCACTTTCCCTGGGTGTCGAGAATAAGTGGGATGCTACGTGTTTTGATCGAGTGCGGTGGTAGGGAGCGTTGTGCGGGCTGATGTGGCCGCGGCCGGGCGGAATGGATGAGGATATGGAGTGGCCTTGGGCGGAGAGGTGGCTTCTTTGCTTCCCAAGGTACAGCGCTTCCGTTGTCGGGGTTCATGTGTATACGTCCAGGTGTCTGCTCGAGAAATGGTCGTAGCACAGACCACCTCACACTAGTAGAGTGCTCCACCGAAGATCGTGAACGCGGCGACGACTCAACACCAACTACCCAACCGACGCGTACATAAATATCACACAAGGCAGAGTCTCCCTCGAACACGAGCGACCGCAGCCATGAGCACCAACGAGCCATTTTACTTGCGATACTAGTACATCAGCCTACTTGCACTTCCAGCACGTGCTTGTCACTAACGCTTTGGCAGCTCTGGTCATCAAGGCCGCTTCGGACACGAGTTTCTGGGTCGGTGATTGCCTTGGAATGGCTAATGGAGACGAAGCGCTGACATGGTGCAGAGTTTGACTTTCGTGTTCTTGGAGACGGCCGCAGCGCATCTGCACGCTATGCAAACAACTCCAACTACCGCAACGACTCACTGATCCGAAAAGAGAGTATGAAGAGCCAAATCCCTACGACGAAAACTTACTAAATTTGTCAGTGTGTGTCAGCGACACCTTGGTGGCTGAGATCAAGCGTATTGTCAAAGAAAGCGAAATCCTCAAGTACGGCACTAATGGAGATTCACCGAGAAAATCATTGTGCTAATTTGATGATTAGAGAAGATGACACAAAGTGGCCTCAAAAGAACAAGGACGGTCGTCAAGAGCTGGAAATTCGATTAGGAAGCGAGCACATCTCCTTTGAAGTAGGTGCCTCATGATACATCAACCCACAGCACACTGACAATGCCAGACTGCGAAAATTGGATCGCTGCAAGATGTCTCAGAATCATCGGATCCAGAAGGCCTTCGTGTTTTCTACTACCTGGTCCAAGATCTCAAGGCCCTTGTCTTTTCCCTGATAGCCCTCCACTTCAAGGTAAGTGCACTCTCGGATACGTCATGTATATTTTCTGACACTGGTACAGATCAAGCCAATCTAAGCTTTTAATAACGGCTGGTTGCGTGGCTTGTGGGTTCGCTGATCCCGGGAGAAGGGTTGTCACCACGACCACAGCAGACCGCACGCATTCTTATTTGCATCTGATAGAGGTTCAGACACATGGATTGCAGTGAATCAACGAACATATGTCCACAGCTGGCGGCATCCAACTATACCCAGCTCTGCGTAAGAGGGCGTGCAGACGTTGGTGTTGGACGCATGCTGGCGAGGGAGCTACTGGCACTCTGACCAACGACATGCAGGCCCCGTGCCCGGATAAGGTTTTGTTATTCTAGATAGACGCACGTCTGCGAATTTATCCATCAAAGTTGACGTACTTGCATGCGTGTTCCGGTGCAATGGAGCTGGCCATGGGCGTGGTTGAATGTTTGGGCCCCATGTCATGCCACGTGAGGCTAGCGTCTTTCCCCGCGAACATAGGCGCAGGCCTTGGATCCACTCATCGCCTAGACACGTCCGCCGCCGAGTCCAAGTCACCGTTCCAGCCCGGGCATGCATCTCCTCGCCACGACTTTTTGAACCCTGAACTTCCTACTATACTGTCCACCCGCCCCTCCCATCGTTGTTTCGTCCCATGTGTGCTTAATCAGCCTCCCTCCCTGTGAAACCATCGCCCCACTCGAGCGGACGATGCCGACACCGGATGATGCCATGGTTCCGTCGGTGGAGCACGAGAGCATCGCCGGCCGCGCGACCTGTCCCCCAGACGAATCGCGCTCCATTACTGCACAAGAATTGAACCAGCTGCGACTGTCGAGCCACAGCAGCGATGCCAGTCGTGCATCCCATGCGCCCATGCAGCAGCCCACTCCGCCTCCCCAGGATTCTCCAGAACATGGCCAGACGCCAGCGGATACCCACAGCAAGCCCTCGACCGCCGATATCGAGACCCCAGCCCGGGACATTCCCACGCCCATGACTGCAACCGATGACGGCTCCGAAGAGCAGCGCACATCGCAGGCATCGCCACAGTCTGCCATTACGCCCGTTTCGCTTCTCGCCAACCACATCTCGTCGCCATTCCCTGCGCATAGGGTGCGTCGACACCATGCATCTGATGAGTTTAGCTGATAGCAGAACAGTTTCTACCAAACTCCTCGTCATCCCTCCTCCGACCCGGAAGTCGCTTTGTGGGCAGTCAAACGTCCGATCGTCAAAAATACGAAGTCGAAGTCGAGATAAAACATGTCGATATGCGTGAGTCCTTCATGTGTGGATACTTGCGCATCAAAGGTATGTACCCGTTCTACTGCCATGGTGACCCTGGATGCGAAGACTAACTCGTCGACAGGATTAACCGAGGATCATCCCAGCTTGACCACGTACTTTGAGGGCGAGATCATCGGAAGCAAATACACATTCATTACACAGCATCCCGAATGGGGCTCCAACGAGAAGGTTGACCGCCAACATTGGGCTCGATTCCCTGCTTATAAGCCACTGTCCAAGAACTTGTCGCGCCCTGAGCTGGTGACCAAGGACTGGATGCACAAGGAGCATCTTTTCATGCGCTGGAAAGAGTATTTCCTTGTACCGGACCACCGAGTCCGGACAATAAGTGGCGCAAGTTTTGAGGGCTTCTACTACATCTGCTTTAATCAAATGTCTGGCGGCATTGAGGGCATCTACTTCCATGCTAAGAGCGAGAAGTAAGTGTGGGCCATGACACCCTAGCCAGGACGCAGCTAACAAGACTCCAGGTTCCAGAAGCTCCAACTAGAACACGTCCAAGATTTTGGGTGTCAGGGTGCCATTGAGTTCCGATGATGTTAATGATTACACGAATTTGCATTTTTTTGGGATGGATTTAGCATATGGGCGCACTCTGGGTATCGGCTTTGTTGTATGGTATCAGTTTGGCCACGGACCGTATGCAGCGTGCGAGACGGCCGTACATATTTCTGTAGCAACGGAGCTTAAGACATTGAGGCGGAATTACGTCACCTATGGAATCTGTGCACGCACTGTGGCGCCAACGGCTGTGTTCCTCCACACGTCGTGGGCCAGCAGCGACCCTGGAGCTAGTGAAAAAAGCTTGATCCACATGGGCCTCGCTTCGTGATAGGTGGTGACCCATTTACCATTACCTCAGCACCTGCATTTCCCTTTTGACTGACCCGACTGTGTCTGTCCGCCGACTTTTGTACATACGCCCAGAAAAGAAGTCACCATGCCAGGCGAACCAGCAAAGCGCACGAGGCGCGAGGAGTACAAGAAGTCGTTGCAGGCCGATGAGCAAAATGCAGCCCTGCCAAAGAAGAAATTCTACAGACAACGTGCCCATGCTAACCCATTTTCGGATCACTCTCTCACATAGTACGGTGGCTTCGTGATTCTTTTTTTTTTGTCGTCATGTTTCAGCTGCTGACATGGCGCAGTCCCAAGAGCCCCGCAGATATGGACTGGGCCAGCCTGTATCCCGCCTACGCCAAACATCAGAAGCAAGCAACAGAAGGAGAGACGGCGAGCGAGTCACATGACGTGAGCGTAGAAGAGCAACGGAAACTCAACGAGGTGACGAAGAATGTCGAGATTGCAGACATTGGGTGTGGGTTCGGTGGCCTGCTTTTTGCCCTTGCGCCAAAGTTTCCCGATACATTGATATTAGGTACTACAAAACTCTCCTTCGTCTTGGAGATCTATTTTCTCTTTTCGCCTTCCCGTTATTATCTACACAGCAGAGCAGTATGCGTTATACTAACACCAACATTCAGGCATGGAAATCCGCACATCAGTCACAGAGTACGTGCAAGAAAAAGTCCGCGCCCTGCGCATCCAAAACGCCGCAACCAACGGCTACCAAAACGCATCTTGCATCCGCGCCAACACGATGAAATTCCTACCCAACTTCTTCCAAAAAGGCCAACTCGCCAAGATCTTTCTCTGCTTCCCTGATCCCCACTTCAAGCAGCGCAAGCACAAGGCCCGCATCGTGTCGTACACGCTCAACTCGGAATACGCCTACGTACTGCGTCCCGGTGGCGTTGTGTACACGATTACCGATGTGCAGGATCTGCACGAGTGGATGAAGGAGCATTTTGAGAAGCATCCGAGTTTTGAGCGGGTTGAGAAACGGTTTGAGGAGGGCGAGGGTGAGGATGGCGAGGGCATGGATGAGTGTGTCAAGGCGATGCGGGTGGAGACTGAGGAGGGCAAGAAGGTGGAGAGGAATAAGGGGTTGAAGTTTGTGGCGTGCTTTAGGAGGATTGAGAATCCGCCGTGGCCTTGATTGAGGGTATTTCAGGTGCTTTTCCAAAGGATGGGGGGGATTTGAACAGAGTCCAAGCGGAAAGATAACAGTTCTATCCATTGCTCTATATTCTTCGTTTAAAAATTCGTCTCTAGGATATCTCTACCTTATTCATTTCTAAAAAAAAAATCCCTACTTCCTCCCTCACAGCTTAGGAAACCTAACCCTCAAAAACTGGTTTGGCCACGCAACATCAAGACCCAGTTGCCAGGCAACACGCAGCACCCACTCGGGCTCCCTCATAAACTGACGCGCAACCAGCACGACATCAGCCAAGGGCTCCTTACCCTCTGTAACCTTAACCGCAGCCTGTGCCTCCTTTGCGAGTTCCTCGTCCCCAGCCTTTGGAGCAGCACCATCTTCAACGATATCCCTCGCCTGTTCGGCTTCAGTAATCAATCCTACAGCCCCGATGAACAAGTTGAGATTTTCCTTCTTGAGCTCGCTACGGATCTGCGCGGCGATCCTCGTCTGGTAGTCCTTGGACTCGAACATATTGATGCGCTGCTCGGGGTGATTGCCTCCACTGCTTACATCGAGGAGATCGACACCGAGGGCGGGCAGGAGCTTGGCGAGGCGAATTGAGCTTTCGACGTCCCAGCTGCCAAGTTTCTTTCCGAGGTCCGTTTCTTCCATCCAGTCTGTGGAGCTGATGCGGAGGTACAAGGGCATGGAGTCTGGGATGACTGCGCGGATGGCCTTGATGATGTCGATGAGGAGGCGAGTGCGGTTTTCAAAGGAACCGCCGTACTGGTCTGTTCGCTGGTTGGTGACGGGGGAGAGGAATTGGTGGATGAGGTAGCCGTGTGCGCCGTGAATTTCGATGACGTCGACTCCGGCTTTGACGGCGCGCTGGGCGGCGGCGGCCCAGTCTTGAACGAGCTCTTGGATCTCGGCTTCGCTGAGGGCGCGGGGGGCCCAGTAGCCGCTGTTCTCGTCGTCGGCTGGTAGGTTGTCCCATACCCATTCTTGGCCGCCCATGGGACCGACAACGTCGATGGGCCACCCCGCGGCGTCGACGTCGGCCTTGACGCTCACTTTGCGCTTTCCGCCTTGGGTCTTTTGGGAGCCCGCAATCCAGGGTGCGCAGGTACTGGCCTTCCTGCCGGCGTGAGCCAGTTGGATGCCGCATTGAGCTCCTTGGCTCTTGATGAAATCAGAGACTCGTCGCAACGCGGGAATTTGCGAGTCGCTCCAGAGGCCAGGGCAGTTTGGCGAGATGCGGCCGTTGGCCTGGACGCCAGTGGCTTCAATGAATACCAAAGCGGCTCCTTTGAGGGCGTAGTGGCCCAGGGTGGCAATGTGGTAATCGGTCAATGCACCAGTTGAAGGGCCTTCAGATGCTGTGCTGTACTGGCACATGGGGGCCACCTGGATACGGTTTCGGAGTGTGGTTCCACGGATAGTGAGGGGCGTGAAGAGCGTTGGAACCGGAGCATCTTGCTTGCTTGAGGGAGGAATGGAGCCAGGACTTGTGTTGTGTTTGGGCGTGAAGTAGGGCAGGCCTGGTACGCCGTGATTGTAATCTTGGGGTGCCATTTTTGGGGGGATTTTCAGTTACACTTGGCGAAGAGGTCGGAGTCTGGATTCGAAGGAGAGGATGCAGTTTTGTTCAAAAAAGTCCTCTAAGTAAGGATTTATTTAAACGTTTGGTAGTGCAGCACGCCATAGGAATGATTTGTAAGGTGCCGAGGTAGATTTCCACCTTCCAGTTTCACCACGAGAGGTAGTTTTTTTTCTCGTCTAGACGTCTTGCTTATCAAGACAGTTTGCAGTGGTGCAACCCTCAGCCAATGATCTGTGCATGATTATTGCCGATGCTAATCGTCGGATTTAAGCTCACTTGGAAATACTTGACTCCGTAGGCTGTTGTGGGGCGAGATGATCGTCGTATCGAGGGTGTGAACAGCAGCATCTCAAAAGCAGACGAAGACTACTAGGCCAAGATCGGTGGTTTGATGTGCAACTGGGATGGTAGTAGCAAATGCAGGGTCCACGCCTCTCGTCCACGCACACGCGTGACTGCGCGTCTGTCACGGATCGATGATGTAGTCTCGATGACGTCAACTACCAGCTGTCCCATATAGTCTCCCGTGGCCGCCAGTAATGATTGTACTTTGTATCCATCTCTGCTCTACTATACGAATACCACTCTGATTCATCACGCATCCTATTAACTACACAACTTCCTCAAATACAATATCATGTCTGCCGCACCAAACCAGCCCGGCCTCGTCTCCAGCCACGCCCAGTATATCAAGGGCGCCGCTGAAGTAAGTACTACATACGTCTCTTTGTGGCATACTGTTATCCCTTCACTGTATACTAACTAGCGTGAAGGAGACCATCGGAAATGTAACGGGCAGCGAGCCATGGAAGGCATCAGGCGCCTCGGACAAGGAGCACGCCGTCGAAGCCATGAAGGCAGCATCGGCAAACCGCGACCCACAACAACAAGGCATGGGAAGTCTTGAGGAAAAGGCAGGCAACTTGGTTGGATGTGAAGGCATGCAAAAGGAGGGCGCTCAGAGCAAGCAGTAAGAGAGGGCAGACTACTACCGGATTGAATCAGCATCACGTCTATCATCATCACTCTTATATATAATATATAATTGCAAGATACTAGTTCTGCACCCACACTCCTACATCCCTGGCACTAGACACAAAAAGATACGTTTGTGTTGCTAGTATACCCTCGACCTTTCTTCTAAGTTTTCACTACCTCTATACAGCGTGCGTAAGTGGGTAGAGATATGGTTTTGCGTAGTTACTCCGTGAGTACTCGCCTCAAATACAATTAAGTTGTACAATCTGATTTTGATCTGAAAATATCCCTCATAGATAATCAATACTGCTAGTCAGGGGTCGGATAGCATTATGTACGTAGGTAGAGTTTAGTGGGCGATTAGCAAAAGTGCGCCATCCACCTGTATCGTATATCACAGCATCCAAGAAATATCTTTTGACATCTTTGTGTCTTTCTGTGTGCGAACAATGGTGTTCAAGCAGCTCTGCGTATCTGGATACTTGCAGATTTACAGCTGCGGAGAAAAAGAATTCCTTTTTTTGACCTACGTAGCTTCGTGATGTGTTTTGCGTGGGTTGTCACTCATTCAACGCTTCACCTCCCTTCTGGAAGCTCATGCGTCTGCCTATAGTCCCCAGGAGCTTCCACCAGAAATCCTTGCCTGGGATTTTCCCCAAGTCCCCTTAAATCTCTTGAACTGTGTTCTGATATCGCCCAGGGCTGCTTTGCCATAGCTGCCTCGTTGCCTGGTCCACCTGATCCTCCCTGCTCTGATACTGGTGGCCATTGCCCTGCTGAGGATGCTGCCTCATTGGAGATTTTACGAGACCTCTGGCGACGCCGATAGAACCAGATATAATAGATTACAGCACAAATCAGTACCGCACCAAGGGCAGATCCCGCACCAATGCCGATGATAGCGGCTTTAGGAAGAGTGACATCGTTGTTTGATGTTGGTCTAGGTGCTTGAGTACTAGAGGTCGCAGATGATGAGGAAACGATAGTGGTTAATGAGGCGGTAGCGGTTGGTAATACAACCGGAGAGACCGTCATTGTACTGGTATCGGTGACAGTATCCAAGGTGATCGTTGCGCTATACACATTCATTGCGTAAAAGCCGCCGCATACGGCGTTCGAGTCGCCGGCGCAGGGTGTGGTGCAGCTCGGTGGCGTAGTCATAGTTGTTGTGGCTAGGACATTGCCGCAGTAGCACTGTTTTGCGAATTGGACACCAAAGATTGTGTAGCCCAACCGTGAGCAGCTGTTCTCTGTTAGCGCTCCTGATCCAACTCCTTAAATACTGTATTCAGGATGCGGTCGTCACTACGACCGTTCGCACTTTAGGTTACGGAGGTAATCCTCCAGGCTGTTCTGATCTCTTAGGTGTAATAAGAGAATTCAACTCACAAGTTGCCGCACAAAGTGGGCTTTAAGGAATCAATGGTAGTTGAAGGCCCGCCCAAAACACGTTTATTGCCGTCATCGCCCACACAGCCTTGGTAGTCGTAGCCGTCGACAGAAACGGTCGTGACATCGCGAGGGCGCAATCGGACATCCCGAGGTAACGGTAGTAAAGATGGTTCTAGTGTCGGGCCTGTAGTAATGGGGCTAATCCTCGATGGATCTTGAAATTTGGAACGTGCTAAGTTGGAGGGATCTCCATCATATGATTGTGCCCAGATCAGTACTGCACTAAGCAGGATAATAGTTGTGATAGGGAAGTAGATATGTCTCGCCCATGACCAATGTGGTTTTGCCATATCGATCGATGATAGTGAATTAGGATAGCAGGTAGGGACAGTGAGGCTGAAGATGAAGTTTCTGTTTGCTACCATCACATAGAGTAAAGTGGAAGCTTCAAAGTACCAGGAGAACGGATTAGAGGACGGATCAGAGGGATGCACACACATCCTGAAGAGGCTAAACGCATACTCCTCTGTCTGCCTTACGTCGTCTAAGCCTGCCTACCTACCCGATAATGCAGGGGCGGAATATTTCGCTAGCGCCCTCTTTCTCCGAGTCATTGCTTCTACATGTATCACAAGCTAGAGAGCCTAATGCAAAGCCAAGGGGCTCACAGCTAAAGTAAAAGGGAAGATAACGTCAGAACAGACAACAAGGCTGAACAATCATATCAAACGTCTATAACAGCCATTAATTAGACTGTATGTAAATTATATTTACAGTAGAGTAACAAGGTGGTCTTGAGGATCTGCGCGGAGGTGATATTCGGCCTTGCACTTGCTTCTTGGCAGCCTAACCGATTGCTTTCATATTTGGCGGGCCAGCCCGCCCCGGGCAAACCTAACTGCTGTCAGTAAGGCGGCTATCGGGCATCACTACTCAATAGGAAAGAAAAGGCGATCAAGTTTCAGGAAGTATTGACGTGTGGCTTAATCGTTTACAGCATCTTCCGCGGGTGGCACGGCGTCGAGTTTGTTACGGTAACTATTGGACCATTATTGTACAACTAGATCACCTGAGCTCGCTAAAGCCTGTACCCATGGGCGCCTCATAGCATGTCGGCGTAGATGAATCTGGATCTCAATTCTGCTGGTCCTTATAAGCTCTGAAGCTCAAAGGTAGTTTCCTAGATATGGAGCAATACTTTGGAGCTTCCGATTTGCCAAACTCTGGTCCTAGTTATATTTTCGCAGGGTTAATATATATCAATTGACAATCTACACACTGAACTAGAGTAGATAAGAACACTCAGTTGATCTCTCAGCTACTCCCGCGAAGATCTACACCTTGCGGCAATTTCCCCATTGCATCATTCACTTTCATCTCAGAGATTGACATGAAGCGGACTCCAGGCTCTGCAATATACCCTAAAAGTACATGTTCTGCGAGCATTGGTCGTTCCTCGTACAAGCGTGCCCTGATAAGTAGCTCTGCAGCTTTTTCATCGGTGGGTTCGGCGTCTATTCGGAACTGAAGTAAGTCGTTCGCACCTTGACGTAATATCGCAGCCTGTAAGGCTACAATCTTGATGCCTGAGAGGGCCGCAGGCACGATCTTCCGTATGTCTTGCACATCAATTGAAACGGGTCCAAGACGTAAAGAATGACTATCTCGCGCAAGAAGACGAAATATCCCAGCCTTGTAACCAACCCATTCGACCCTATCACCCGTTGGATAACGAACTACTGGCATAAGCCTTCGAAGAAGGTTCGTGATAACCAAACTTCCTTCTACTCCGTTCTCTTGACGAAACTCCCCTTTTTCAATGTCTGTGCATACCTCTGCAATGATTCCAGGAGAAACTTGGTAAACTCGGGGATCTGTAAGATCCACTGGTTTTCCTACAATACCAGAGTCGGTACTTGCGTAGCGGAAGCTTGTAAACTTTGCGTTTCGAAAGACAGATTGTAGCAAAGACTTCTGGTCTGAAAATAACGGTTCCCCAGCAAACAAAACCAGACGGATTTCCGGGCAAGTCTTTTCTGCAGAGAGACACCAATTTGCCAAGTATGCCAAGGCAGTCGGCGTCGATCCAAGGGCATTGACATTGCATTCCTTGATCAAATGTTCCATGAATTCCGGTGCTAAGGAACCACCTATTGATACTTGGATTACAGGTATCGGAAGTGCCATGATGCTGAGTATTTGATAAAGGAGCGAGCCATAGCAATCGCCAGCGTAAAAGAGTTTGCCAAACCGACCTCCGGGCTGCTGGGCCAGCAGAGACCATTTGGTTGGCTACAATATCGACCGACCTTTGAAGCTCAATTTGGGAGATAGCCGTGAACTTTGGCCTACTTGTAGTGCCTAGTTTTATGTAAGTTAGGAACTAAAAAGCAAGTTACTGCATATACCTCCTGTCCGAAGAACAATACCATCGATGTGAGTTCCTGTCATTACTTTACTATTGAGATATTCATTTCCAACCCAGTATTTCGCGTGATCAGTGACTGGAATATTTAAATCGCCATCGCTTGTTGACACCGTTTTATACAGTTCTGGATAGAACAGTGAATATTTCTTTGCAAAGTTAACATACTCGTTAAATGCATCGAGTTCTGCAGTGATCGTCTGAGTAACAGTCATTATGGAAGTCTTCAACTAGCAAATGGTGGAAGGAATTGTGTTTCTACTAGTTGGTGAAGTTGGTGAAGTTTTACTTGAATAATAATGCACCCATTACTGCCGTGACTCCAAATCGAATACGACTACTCACACAAGGGTTACTTGAATGGGTACAGCAGTTTGGGAAATCAACGTGCAGAATACAATAAGAGCGGTGAGGGTTGTGGTTTCAGTTCAGCACCAAGTAATATAAAACTATATCGTATTATTGATTAGTTTTACTAGAAAGGGCAGGCCCAAGAGACCTAGAGCGCAACGTATCGGCATGTCAGCTTACTGTGGAGTTTTAGCGCTGGACTTTGCAACACAGACTAATAAGAGTAGTTCCCATACCGTATATACTCAACGGGCAGAAGCACAGTAGTCTAGGCAATAGCATGATTCTGCTTAAGCATCCGAAGTAGCAAGAATAAGTCACACATAGTATTGATGGCGACACTTGGGGTCAAAATCGCTCCAATAGCCTCTAGTAAATAAGCGCTTTAAGTACTGATACAGTAACAGATCTACGCAAGGCACGGGAATCAATCACTCTACTCGTTAAGAAAGAGGCGTCGTCCTTGTATGCATAAACCGGGGACAGGAAAAGTCCCCGGTTTATGTAGTGGTAGAACAAGTGATAACACGTCATTCCGTCCGATCTGCTCTATACAAGAAGTATGCCGACGGATCAGTAATTAGATGGGGGACTCCTGGGGAATCCCTGCTGTTATGTATATTTTTGCCCGAGTTTCTCATGAGTCACGTAGGAAGGTGTTGGCATGTCTTAATATAATAGTAATTACGCAGGAGTGCGGCCTAAGTTTTAGAACACTCTATCAAAACCAGCTTTTACTCACCAAAGATTCGTTACCTGCGTTTCTATTCTCTTACCTTCCATTTGTTAGAATACTTTGAAAATAAGTCATGTTATTAATAGCTTCCGAGGCCAGACTCATACCGAGCGACTACATTGATGCAAGAGATATAAGATTATGTCTGATGCACAGACACCATATGATACATAGTAATCATGAGCTCTATTTTTGAAGTTTACAAAAATACTTTTGTTGCGTGACCTCTCGTTGGGTTCATTTCAGGTACGATGGCGGAAGTAGATGCTGGGGAAAGCACGGTCCGCCCGTGAGACTGGAGCTTCGCGTCATGACCAAAGTCTCAACCACCAACCGCAAGCTGAACCAGCTACGGTACAGCCAAGATGCCTCCCCCAGTCCGCGCGCGTCCTATCAAGAAAGACGACTTCGAGGCGGCGTTTAAGAAACTCAAGACATCCGTCTACCAAGACAGCGTGCGCCCGGCCGCTGTGTCGTCGTCGCACTACATCCGCTCGATATCGTGGAACGCCTCTGGAACTTTTATCGCTACGGGAGCTGCAGACAAGACGTTGCGCATATGGAATCCCGAGAAGACTAACGTTAAGAACTCGACCGAGCTCCGTACACCCAATGCGCCTCCCTTGACCAATCTCGAACGCGTATCTTTCCACCCCATCAATGAGAATGAGCTTGCAAGCTGCGGTACCGATGGTATGGTCAGATTCTGGGACATTCGCTCAAAGGCTAGTGTGGGAGAGGTCAAGGTCGGCGAGCAGCCCTTTACGCTTGCATGGACACCAGATGGCAATGAAATCGTCGTAGGAAGAAAGGTTAGTAGGCTAGCCTTTGTTTCGGCCATGTACTGACTTTTCTGTAGGACAATCTGCTCGTCAATGTCGATAGAGCAGCTCTTAGTATCATCTCCGAGCACCGCCAGCCCCTCCAGACCAACCAGTGTGTCTTTGATTGGTCTGGTAACCACCTTTACTCCACGGCTGGTGATGGAAGCGTTAGATTACTACGCTATCCGTCGTTCGAAAACGCTCTCACACTAAACGCCCATACTTCTGCATGTTATGCTGTCTCCATGTCACCTAGCGGCGAATACCTGGCAGCTGGTGGAGGAGACGCGTTGGTTTCACTTTGGGATACACAGGAATGGATTTGCGTGAGAACCTTGGAGTTGACAGGAGGCCTCGTTAAGAGCGTGGACTTCTCATTTGATGGCAGCTACATCACAGCTGGCTCCGACGACAAGGAAGAGAAGAAGATTCGCATTGCACACGTTGAGTCAGGCGAGATTGTACACACCATCGACGTTCCCACGCCCGCAGCGCACGTCGCATGGCATCCATGCCGATACACACTGGCTTATTCAGCCGACAACCTGGGACTCAAGATTGTTGGAGGCATTAGCTAGGCTGTCATGGAGTAAAAGAAGGGAAAGGAAAAGGAGTTTTGTCAGTTCTAACGGCGTAAATGATACCCCATTGTTTGAACCACACGCGTCGCGTCCTGTCCATCTCCAACCGCGGCCGATTTCCATCTGTGACGCAATCATCTCGCTCTAGCTCGGCATAGTAATAACCCGGAGTGGACTTTCTCACTATAGAAGCTGCCATTTTCTCCAAGTCTCAAACGTTTACAATACTCTCAAATCGGACTGGCCACCATGGACGTCACAGCACCCATACAACTAAACAATCTATTCTCTGCCAAGGGGCTGGTAGTAGTCATTACCGGCGGCGGTACCGGTACGTTATTTATTCAAGCTCTAAACTACCCCGCTGTACTACCCCGCGCCTCTCCCCTTTGAACAGTCGCTCGCCATGTGAATTTCCAGCAAAAAGGCTCATCAACAACCAACAGGTCTCGGCCTCGCCATTGCCTCAGCACTCTATCAAAGCGGCGCTGAGAAGATCTATATCCTCGGCCGCCGACAAGACGTCCTTCGCAACGCCATCTCCAAACTCCAGTCGGATTTAGCATACAAACCCCATAGCACCTCCGTTCTCAACGACATCGTCTGCGATATCACAGACCTCGAGTCCGTCAAGGCCGCCGCTGAGCAGATCAAAAAAGATGTAGGCTACGTCGACGTGCTAATCAACAATGCGGGCGTCCTTGGGCCAAGAAACGGTCAGGACATTTACAAAGCATCTTCCATCCACGAACTCGCCGACGCAATGACATCCGACTACGCCGGCTGGACCTCCGCAATGGCAATCAACACACAATCCATCATCGGTGTCTCCGCGACTTTCCTCCCGTTACTCGAAGCAGCAAACACACGCCGCGGATGGGCACCAGGCAAGGTCACGGGCGCAGGGAACCCGCGTGCCCGCGACACATCGAAGCTGGTGGCCGCCGGTATCGACACCGACGACGACCGCATGGCACACATCATCACCGTCGCATCCGTCGCTTCGTACATGCGCTGGGTCTCCGCCGGTCTCGCCTACAACGCCAGTAAATCCGCTGCCGCGCACCTGGGCAAGATGATGGCGACGTTCCTGGCGGAGTGGGGAGTCAGAAGCAACGTTGTCTGCCCTGGCCCTTATCCAAGTGATATGACGGCAGATATTACGCCCGTATATGGGACGAGTCAGGTACCGCAGGGGCGGATGGGCGGGCTGAATGATATCAGTGGGTTAATGCTTTTTTTGGTGGGTAAAGGAGGCGCGTATGTGAATGGGACTGTGCAATTGACGGATGGAGGGAGGGTGGGCGTGTTTCCTGCTACGTATTAGCGATGAGGGAAGGGAATCGGAGAGTTGAGAGTAATTTGATTCTATTGATTTGGAGTTAAACTACAATATCGATTGTGATTGAGCCATGATTCAATGCTTTCTCCGTATCCGCTGTTCGACATGTCAGCCTAAACACCATAAGCTAATGCTATAAACAAAAAAAAGCCCTTTGATTCCACCACCTCCTTTACAGAAACTGTTTCTTTCCCTTCAAGTCCCCTCACTTCTTCTTCCCCCCTTCCTCCTCCTCCTTCTCCTTCTCCCTCTCCCTCTCCTTCTTCTTCTCCTTCCGAGCAGCGCGCAGTGTCCACCAGCCCTACATGCGTCCAAGCACACCCCTCACACTTCCCTCAAGCACAACATTACCCTTGACGCTCAACTCGCCAATCCCAGTCTGACCTCCGGAGCCCCCATTGACCCATTTCTGCAGCAGCGCATTGCTCTCCATAGGCTTGATGCTAGGTGCTGCAGTACCAACAGTAACATGGGCAATGGGATTTGCGGTTGTGAAAGCGAGCTCCTCGGTTGCGGTACCAGCATCACTCTCAATTTGAAAGGTGCTGGAGCCATTGAGACGCACGACAAAGGTCATGATGCGGTCGTCCCAGATGAGGCGTTCGAGTTGGACGTCGCACTTGCCGAGTTCTGGTTCCCACGAGCCCTCCATGTTTGTTTTTTGCATGGTTTCGTGGAGCTTGATAAGCTTGTCCCAGTATTCTTGGTTTTCGGATGCGGAGGCCCGGTGGATGAGGGTGACGTGGAATTCGTTCTGGACGCGGCGGCTCTGCTTGAGTTGGTTGTACATTCGGGCGGTCATGGCGTCCTTGTCCTTGAAGAGGTCGTCGAGGACTGCGTTGACGCGATTGGTGTTGAGACGAACGGAGAAGTACTCCATGCGTGGAGCCTTCTTTGACTTTGCCACTGGTTGAGATTTCTGGTTGTTCTGATTGTTTTGTTTGTTCTGGTTCCCCTTTTTATCGTTGCCTCCTCGCGATAGGTCCATCTTGAAGTCCGGCGTGTAGTCGTTCAAAGCCCAGTGAATAGCAGCGTCCATATCGGGGTCAGTCGGCATCTGCCTATCGGCAAATAGAGCTGGATATGTCTCAAACATTCTTCCAATGATTGACTCAAGATTCTGGCGCGAGTCAACAGTAGGGTCTAAGTCAATGACCAAATCGAAGAGTTCGTCTGGGCTATCTGAAGGATCGACTGGCTGAAAGCGATGCATGAAACCTTCCATGATCTCAATAATCTCACTTGATCCCTTTGAGCCGGCTTGGATGGTCTGATGGTTATCGCCACGGTCGAGCACACGCGCCCGTGTTGCTTCTCGGATTCGGTCGTAGTTGTGGCGGTCATGAACATAATGCAATGCAACGAAGCGCGCATCTGGCACGTTCTTGGAGATGTCGTTGATGAGCTGGTCTCGCTCGCGCTTCTGGTGGTTGTTGCGATCAGCAATGACGACTGGGTTCGTGACTAGCAGCGAAGAAATCGTGTCGGCAAAGACCTGGCCACGACCTTTTTTGGCCTTGACATTATCATTCTGGAAGTGACCCCATCCAAACAGCTTGACTAGAGCGAGAGCCAGGGTCGTTTTTCCGCACCCAATAGTTGCAACAGGAACAAGCACAATATTCCTAGTTGCATTCTTGCTCTCAACAGCCCCATTTTCCAGTTCTTGTCGAATGATTTCAGCACCAGTAGTTCCACGCGAGGCCAAGAACTCGTCACGCATCTTGATGATGCCGTGATTCTCGTTATAAGCCTTTGCCAGGGTCTTGTTTTGGGTGAATTTCCAGCGCGCAAAGTCAAGGTACTCCTTGGTGATTGCCTCGTGCTTCTTGTAACGCGGCACTTTGCCTGCGATGAGGGCTCTAGTGCACTCGCGCCACTGACGGTACATGAGATATGGCTCCTCGAACTTGTACTTGAAAAACCAATCCACATAGGGTGCGTTCTCAGTCTCGCGTGCCTGGCAGCGGATGACGAAACCCTCTGTGTCGCGACCCTCGTAGTTGCCCGTCTCCGCAACCTTATCCAAGAAGGCCTTTACTTTCTTGATGTCATTCTCGATTACGTATGTGACCTTCTTCATGCCCCACTCTTCGGCGAATTTGTCGACCAGATGGCCAGGATATGTAGCAAAGTCAGGTAGGTTCAGGTTGATGCCGTGTACGTAGAGACCAGCCTGCTCGGGAGTATATGCCAGCACATGCTCTTCAAATTCGTCGTCGCATAGCTCTGCTACTAGTGTCGCGTTCATGGATCGAAGAGTACGCGCCAGTTCCGCCTTGGTCCTGCCGACTTTCGCAACATGACGCTCAACCCACTGCTCGCCCGCAACAGCGTGACTGAGACCTCCCTCCCGAGGGCCTGTAGAGTGTTTGCTGCAGACCAGTAGTGTGTCGTCGTCTAGGCCAGCTACGAAGATGATACACCCGTTCTCTTTCACACTCAGCTCGTACGGACCCCGTGTGTTGTTTTCGACATTTTTCCATTCCGTCTTCCGAATCTCTCCATGGTTGAAGAACTTGTCGTACCCTCTGACTGCAATCTCGTAGTTGCCCTGCATGTTCTTGTATGTGAAGAGTCCCCGCGCATACGTGGGGAGGTTCTCTTTCTTGTAGTCCCAATCGTTCATTTTCCATGAGTCGACAGTTCGGCCGTTGGGGAGTGGAAATGTGTGTTTTTTAACTGAGAAACCACCCTTTCCCTTCTTGCCCTTGTGTGCCTCGAGAGCGTGGACCAAATCTGTGACCTCTTTTGGGTCTTGCGGCACGTATGGCGCTCTCTCGCGGTGCGCCATGATTGCCGTGGACGCAAACGAACGTCGGGGGATGAAATACTTTTGGATATGTGGTCGGGGTCGTGCAAGGACGGAAAGGTGAATCTGGGATAACGACACTTGTGAGCGAAGGGAGGTTGCGTACAGATGCGACAATGTGCAAGGGCGGGGAGAATATTGTACTATAAAAGTGGCGCGCATTGCCGTAGAAAAGAACAAAACAGAAAATATGTGGGCAGTGCAGTCGCGATGAGTCAGTTTAGAAAGGGAATTTCATACCAAAGCTCAGCCCTTGCTAGCGAATACGGCAGAGGGCGCAAGTTGCAGTTGTTTTGAGGTCAGTGTGTAGTAATTGCTTCAGCTGGTCGCGATGAGATCACAGCCTTGGTGCCTGACTCCCGCGGGTGGGGTACACACTAGCCTTTTTGGTCAGAGTCATAGTTGACTTGTGATGAACAAGCCTTTATCATTTTCATATCATTTTCAAGTCAATGTGGGAATCATGTAGAGAAAACTTCTTTGCTTGTTTTCTACGGGACTTCGCTATCTAAATACACTACAATGAAAGTTTCTTGACGCCTTCAGCCAGTATTTTCTCAACCTCATCCTCGTGTGTCGAAAAATTGTCGACGAGATTGTCCCTAGGTATACGTCAGTAAGGCGCTCGTATATATCATGGCTCCGTTCACTACTCACCACATCCTGGGGTTGTGCTCGTGCTTCTTGTTGCTGTTCCATGCCCAATCGGTAATGGTAAACATCCTCGAGCTCTCCATCATAAAGGCGATTGCGCCCTTTGAGATTTGCATCTCAGGCGGTGGTTGCGCGCTCGCAGCTTTGAACTTGGGAGCTGTTAGCATTGCTCATCAAATTTCACTGATGTTGACTTACCTCCTCGTATGCGACACCATGAGGCACAAAGCCACACTCAAAACTGACACCTCCGGGCTGAAACTCGTCGGAACGACCTGCGTATTCTCCATAGATCAAGCCCATGAGCTCAGAGGCGCCGTTGCGGTGGTAGTATGGTGGGCGGTATGCTAGGCAATAGTCAGTCTTGTCCTTTCTCACAGATGCTCATAACGTACTGTGTGAAGCCACATCCCATCGTGGACTGAAGATCAAAAAGTCGGCGAGCGGCGCAGCTGGATCGCGAGAGGGAGCCGTAATGACGCAGAAGATGGAAGGATCAATGTGATCAACCGAGATTGAGCCAACATTGACAAACTTTGTCAAATCGTACTTGAACGGAACATAGTTGCCATGCCACGCGACAACATCAAACGGCGAGTGTTCCTGCTTGCTAACGAAAAACTTTCCAGCAAGTTTGTAGACAATCTCCCATGACGCCTTCTCAATCTCGTATCTTGCCTTGGGGTGCAAAAAGTCTCGAGCATTGGCAAGGCCGTTGGCTCCTAGTGGGCCGAGCTCTGGAAGTTGGAATTGCGATCCCCAGATTTCTGCATCACATCAGTTTGCGTCAAGTAAATTCCGAGACTCGAGTCGACCTACCCAAGATGTAGCCTCGGGTTGGTCCTTCGACCTTGACCTTGAATCGCTGTCCCCGTTGGATGACGCAAATTTCACCTGGTTGCACATACATGGGCCCAAATTCAGTCAGGATGTCTAATGCTCCCTCCTGAGGCACGATCAGAAAGTCTCCATCCGAGTTCACTGCGGCCCTCCTGTTCATGCTCGCATTGCAAAGATACGTATGCACTGCTAGACCCTCACGTAGTGTTGGCTCACCCGAGCCAGCAATAGTCTTGAGGCCAGAAATAAAATCAATATCTCCATCCTTAGGGATGTCAAACGGAAGCCAAGCTAGCTGCGTAGGCGAAACATGGACTCGCTTGTTGGAGGGGAGGAAGTTGGACTCCGTATCCTCATTGTCTGGCAAATCGGTCTGTGAGCATGTGTCAGCGCATGTAAAAATGTCACCGCCACTTGATGCTACTGCGCCATCCACATCCTCCGACACTTTGAGGTCATGTTTGTTCTGAGAGGACCAGAAACGGGCCGAATATGACGTGAGGCGTAATTCCGTGTCCGACCTCACCGATCGGTCAAAGAAAAGAGAGCTCTTACAAATCCTTGATGAGCGACAGCAGGTCGCGCCCGGTAGAGGTAAGCCTGAAAATGACGCGTCAGCACGTATATTGGCTACCTTGGTTTACTGGTATAACCTTTTTATTCAGATGCCTGGGAGCCACAAAGGCCGTTCCGGTCATTTGCTCCGCATAGAGTCCAAATCTGACACATCGTGGGTTATTCTGACCCTTGGGAATAGTGCCTGTATGGACCCCACCGATTAGCCGGCTGCACAGTTTATCAGATTTGGGCTCCTGCTCACCTGGGACTGCCTCGGACTCGAAGCTGTTTCCGAAGCCGGATTGATACTGCGAATAGGCCAGCCGTCAGCGGGCAAGCTCCGACATGACCACTTGTTCGCCTAGTCAGCTCACCTCATAAGGGTCGTTCTTCCTAGTTCCGAACGAAGGTATAGCGCCGTCCTTCTGCGTCTCTGCCCAGTGGAAGATATTCTGGTACTCCTTCGGGTCTTGAAGCTGTTCGGGCATGGTGGCTACGTCTTGGTGGCGATAATCGTTCCGGTGCAATTTGTCGAGACCAATGAAAGCGAAAAGATGGGGTTGCGCGCTTCACCGCTATTTCTCACGATGGTGCAGATGGAGTCGGAGGAGAAATATGGGAGCGCCTGGCGTACAAGTAGTGTACCAGTTCTCATTTACCCCAATTGCTACCCCACCATCTGCCGACCCCACAAGCTTCATGCAAGAGCTTGTGTCGCACTCATCACGCCGGTGACCCCACCCCTCTTTGGATCTTGTCATACATTGCCCAATCATTGGGAGAGTTGTTCCGTGTTCCGGAATTTGCGGGTAATGGTCGAATGGAATTGTACACGGTTGGTGTCTGGAGGTATACTGCCGACGTGAGTCGGAGTGGGGTAGCTCTACTACGTGTGCGTGGTGCTTAGTACTCTCCGATGCAACGACAACGGATAAACAGCAGATTCTGGTTGACACTTATTGGCTACCGGAGGCTGCAGTGGGGAAGATTCTGTGCATACATACTACGGTAGTAGTTCAACGGCTAGCAGACAGACGTTTGTGATGCCTTACGAATGAGGGGAGAGTCCGATCGGAGGCGGACATGTCACCTTTAGTAAGGAATTACGTAGCAGTGGTAGAAGAGAGCTGTTATAATAGTCACAAGTCAGCCAGTCAGCCGCACCCGGTTGTTTCCGGTCTTCTCAAGCCTTCACTTCCAAGTCTTTCCGTATGTTTACCGCATTACCTAGATGTGTAATTCTGGAAGGCGTTCGCGATGGCGTTTACAACACCAAAGGTCATCCATCTAGCCATCACGCCTCATGCAGCTAAATCCAAGTACTCACGTCTAGTTCTCTCCGCACATTTACATCACGACGCACACGTGTGATTCTAGAAGGGTGGTCGGTCGGGCGGTCGCGACGGCGTCCACAACACCAAACGGCACCCAGTCAATACGCCTCACATGCAGCTAAAATCCAAGTCTCTTTTGATCCAGCCAGACTGTGGTCACACCGTTCAAGCACGTACGGCGCCCATTCCAAACCCCCATCACCTTTCTCTCTTCACAGTCCTGCGCAAGAGAACGTTTCTGGCGGCCACAATAAGACGCCACAATTAACCTTCTTTCAGCCCTATATGCAACTTTGTGGCAGCACCACAGCCTGGACGCACACGTGTGACGGATCTCGCCTATGTGATACGGACGTGGAAGCGTAGGTCAGCGCCTCCGCTCGTAACACACATCTCACTCGCGTATCGCGGAGAAGCCCAGTCTGCGTGGTTGCTCCACGGATATTGCGGAAACGAAGGGGTGTGTGTGTGTGTGTGTGGATGGGAAGGGTGAGGAAGGGAGGGAGGGGTTATTGCCCAACCCAACACAAGATCGCGTAACACAAAGACAGCTCACGTGGCTTGAATTTCCATAAATTGAAAGCAAACCAAAGAGCTGAACATTTCGTAAACGAGAGAGAGCCAAGGCTCGGTGAATATTGCCTGTCAGACAAGCCCAGTCTGGATTCTTGCCTCCCCTCTCCGAACCCGAAAATAGACGACAATGAACTTATTGAAAGCTGACATTAACCTTCTGACTACAACCAAAAAAAACATGTGGAATTCCAATATATAGCCAAACATCGGTAAAAATCAAGAAAAAGACAAAATATTCCGGGAATTCTGGACAACCTGCTCAAGCTAGCAACCGGGCAAAAAGAAAAAGTCATCTTGCCACCAAAACTTGCAACCTAAAGCAACCGCGCACGCGGGGGCAAAAAAAAGCTACTAAAAAAACACCCCGTCGTGCTGTCAGATTGTAAAAAAAAGCAAAGAAAATTGTCTAAGAACCCAAAAAATGGATCAAACTAGTAGTTATCTTGGGCTCTCACACCGCTAAATTCCCCGCTCCCATACCTTGCTTTCCCTTCCATGCTCAAGTGTTAAAAAAAAACTGGTATGCAACTAGAATTCCATCTCTCTCTTGTGTCAACAATAGGGGGAGGTGTCATGTGTGCAATTCTCTAATAAGTGAAAGTGATTTCGGTCCTTTTTTTCCCTTAAACCGTTGGATATTACCATATTGTCATCTTTTGTTTACTATTCTTTTTTTTGCTTGGACTCGCCTACTTCGTATGTACGATAACATCGGGCAGGCGCCCCGTCAGAGCACGGTCGCGTCTTCTCACCACCCCACTCCGCTCGCTCACTTACTCGTGATGGGGGACTATTAAAATCTAAAAAAGGTGGCGAACTGACAGTTTAATAATAAAACCATTTTTCATGTCGTCATCTCATCCACACCCGTCGGGCCATGTCGGGCCACCTTGGGCCCCATGCACAGGTATACCATGCTGACTAGAGAAGAAGGACGACTTTTGAATGCAAAACGAATATTCTCCAGGGCCCGCGTTTCGCGCCGATTAAATAAGGGGAGGGTTTTTTTTTGCCGACAGCGGCATACCCGCCTTGCTGGATAAGACTGTGTGTGTCCTCCTTCTGCACCAAGGCCGAGACAGGTTTAGCAGGGGCAGTTTGGAACCAAGAATGCCTGCCACACCTTTCTCGCTCTCCCTCTTGTTCTCTCTTGTTCTCTCTAGGATTGCGCATTGCGCCGTGGGTTGGCGCGTAAGCGCTCAAATGGACTAAATGGTGCGGGGAAATCCTCATTCGCTACTACTGTGCCCCCCCCCCTGCAACTTGGGCTGGGCTGCTGCGACACCACCACCACACCTTCATCGCTTCATGATAACATGGCCCACCCTAACTCGGGTCGACTATGTAGATCACGAGGCCCCCTCGCGCTCCCGCCATCTCTCCCTAGCTTGAGACGATCAAACGTTTTAGTACATGATCGTTTCCTGTCCATGGCTGCGTGGGAGGAGTTCACCGAGGAAACGGACAGAGAGGGGTGGAGGGGAATAGAGGGGGGGAGGGGGAGGGGCAAGGACGGAGGAGGCGTGTGCGCTCGCCTTTTTCCGTCTTGCGCGATTTGCGATAACACTGACGAGCCGTTCGCATACAAACTATATGCATCCACCCGCCGAACGCATGCGAACAAGCGCACATTGCAAGATCAGCGCAGATGTTGCCATATGGCGCCGAAAGCCGTTCACAGCCCATTTGGCCTTTGGACGACGCCTTCGGGACCCTGCCTTGATCGGCCATCACCCTGCCTTAGACGGCGCTGACCCTGCGCTGATCGGTCGCAACCTCTCACCCGTCGTGCATGCCACAGATGTCGTGAGTCGGGTATTCCGTGAGACTCTCCAACTCAAAAGGAGAAAAAACAAATCTTTGCGTAAGCAAAGGTAATCTACAGATCGGCACGGCCAAGAACAAGTCCGAACAGCCACGAGGGGAGAACATTTGGGCAAGTGATCAACCAGATAGGTTAATTTAGAAAGGCTTGGTCGGGCGTGGATGAGACAAGCTCACTCATGCTTCGGAGAAATGTATCAGATATGTTGGTTTCGTGGAACAACCTGTATTCGACCCTCTGCTTCTCAGCTTGATTCAGAATGGCCGTAGGCGATAGCACTTGAAGCTTCTAAATACACCAGTGCAATGCAGACACGGCGCGCTAGGTGCTAGTCTGATTGCCGCCTCGTTCAGTGTGCCGCTAGCACCACGCCAGCCGATCAATCAGGATGCAGCAATAAGAGGCGTGGAGAGAGGCGTATATGTGACTATGTAGCGTGATGGGATTGGAACATGACATTGAGAGATCCTGGCAAGTCGACTCTTTCGCGTACAAGGGCAATATACAGCCCTGCCAGACGTCCTCATGTATTGTCCGACACGCGTCGCATTGCGACGACACGCCCGTATTCGTACGAGGGGCATAGCCACAATATCGAGCGTGGCGCCGGCAAGGTTTCAAGAGCAGAGCCTAGTCACTCATCCAGGCGGCGACGCGGTTTCCTCCAAAGCGCGCAGCAAAACGTAGACCCGAGGAGCCCATGGGGAAGTAGGAGACGATGTACCAAACAAGCGAAACTAGCTGAGCGGCAGCCGCAATGAAGGTGAGAAGGGTGCTATGCAGCTAGTCACGCGAACATTGTCAGCGAGGGCGAGCTGGGTGGAGTGTAATCGATAAGGACTGGCGTGGAATAGGAGGGGCACGCGGACAGGGATTCGGGGCAGAAAGCACCAGGGTTGACATGTTGCAGGGATTAATACGCTAGGAAATGGACTTACACCTAGGGAGAAATACAGCGTGAGGACGATGCTGCCAAAATACGCGGCGGTGAACGGAAGTCTGGGGCCGGAGATAAGGTGGTGAACTAGAGGTGGGATTAGTAAAGGGCAAATGCAGTCACTCTGTGAGTGGGTGTGGAAGGGTAACGATGAGATGGAAGGGTGTGGATTTGAGGTGATGTTGGTGCAAATAAGGCTTGCTTACCATATTGTATCGGACCCATCAGGACACCCCATGCAGCTAGAAAGAGAAGGCTGCCCATAGACCATCTAGAATGAGACCATGGTGGTTAGCACTAGCGTTCTTCAGGTGACGTGCATGAGGCTTGGCATATAGTCTTGACTCGATGAAGGCTGTCTGTACCCTGCAGCGCGCCGAACCTTGGACCCGCATGATCGCTGCAGAGGGGTCCAGTGCCGATGTTACAGTGGCTAGAGGTCAAGTGGCACATGGATTCGATTCGTCAAAGCTGCCGTGCGCAGGACATGAGCGGGGACGTGTAGCAGTTGAACGAGTTGCATGAGTTCGCATAGCCGTGCCGACGAACAGATAGACCATGTGCCACTGCCTATCTCTCGGTCTGGGATCATCTTTTACCAGGGCAAAGGAAGGTAGCGCGGAAGACATGGAGTTGGGCGGCTACGAGGGGGAG